ACTTAACAAGACATTTAGTGGTTCACTGCTGAGTTTACAAGATATCTAGCTTTAATCTACTGAGTTAATACGATATTTAGTTATTTGCTTCTGACTTAACAAGACATTTAGTGGTTCACTGCTGAGTTTACAAGATATCTAGCTTTAATCTACTGAGTTAATACGATATTTAGTTATTTGCTTCTAAGCTAATAACAAAAATAATTGCACTCTTGCAAGTAACAAGAGATTGTATTTAATACAAGTCCGCTGAGTTAACGAAATATTTGTATCCTGAAAACTTATCTGTACAAGAAAACATGTTAAACTTTGATTAGTGGGTAAACTAAACATGTACTATAATTATTATTTTAAACTTAAGTACAAGTACTGATGATTTTATACCAGTAGATACCCTACAGTTAAAATGCAGTAATACTGCTGCACATCAGTTTATTACTCATCACTACAGTAAAATACATGCAATGTATATTTAATGCTTTGCCAATTAATATGTAGTAAGATCAACACTAGAAGTTGATAAGTTAACCAATGAATTAAATGTTCACAGCTCTTGCTAGCTATAAGTAGTTGGATTACAAAATGTCAATTCTAGTTCTTTCTAAAAAGAAATAGTTAATTTCCCAAAGCACCAATGGGAAATATTCGAAGGTGATAAAAAACGATGAAGCTATCCAGGTGTCGTTGAATTTACACAAAGTTTGTTGAATGGTGTGACACCTTTACAACCTTAAAATGATGAAATTCTCAATATAATCCTAAAATCTGTATTCAATCTTTGAATAACAAATTCAGTGACTGACACTATATTTCAGTAATCATACAATGTGCAGTGTTGCTGACAATCTTATCAAATATTTAATTTTACAGGCGCAGTGCTATGCTGAAATCAATTAACTGGTAACCATAGAGTCTGCAGTGATAAACTGGCCTGCAAGAGTCAGTTTCCTCCAATAACAGCAATACAAAAATGCCATTTTCTTCAATTAGCAACTGTCATTTTGTTTCCAGTGATAAAACTCCCAGTTTCATTGATACATTCATGACTTACTTTCTATATGATACAACCCAAATATTTTTCGACTGCCACCCTTATAACGTACCCACCACCCCAAACTGCGGAGCACTTTTTTTTTCGATAATGGGACGCGAACATTGGACTCGCACATCCAGAGTTTGTCATGTTAAGCTCTCGGCCACGATCGCCTCATTTGCTTTGAACTATGGTTGTGTGTTTTTTAAACAAGAAACCATAACTGAAACTTTTAAACAGTGATCCGCTGGAATCTTCCAAAGAACACTAAACTTGGCGTGTATATTCAACTGAAAATGAAAGATGGAGCTTATTTTACATATAGAAAAAAACTAATTCTCGTTTCTGAAAAAAAAAGGCAAGCTTTGTTCGTCTGAACGAAACTGCATTAAATCATTTTCTCCTCAATGACAAACTTGTTATTTCATCTTGGACATCCATCTAAATCTTAGCCTACACTTCTCAGTCGATTTTGTTAGAACTACTGAAGAGGAAACAAATAGCCCCTATTCCTCTTTTCTTTTGAAAGAAAATAGAAGGCATTAGAAACCTCTTTACCATCGACTTGAATAACTTACTTGTCTTAGCTAGCCATAGTTTAAGTATATATAATGACCTCACATACTTAGAATGTTACATCGCACACCCCTGGAATTTTAACACTTCTAGTGATTAGGTAGCGATTTGTAATCACATTTTACGTAGTGTAATCGGTTGACAGGGCCTTCGAAACTTGATAGTGTTCATTATTATCATTATGTTCACTAAAAAAGTGGTAAAAAATGTCTCTAGAGCCTGATATAACTAATTATTGAGATTATAAGCATTATGAATAAATTCTTTGAAAACAGTAATAATATCATATCGTAATAATTAATATTAAATGTTACAGGAAAAAAACTCAAAAATATAAGCGAATAGTAACTCTTGGACGGAGACTTAAATTCAGAACACCTGGATACCAATGCCAGTGCTTTACCTCTGCACTATCCAAGAAGTCAAGACAATTCCCTCAATTTTCAGTTATAAAACTTCTCACTATAGGCTTAGTCATCATACTATGTTATGACAGATACAAAACCAAATCATAGAATTCTATCACAGACTTACAATTATTTATTTAAATCCCTTAGGAACCAGTGAAATAGTAATATTATTATATCGTAATAGCTAATATTAAATATTTTACTTGAAAAACCGATAAGCCAGAATTGACTCAAAGTCTATAGAATTTGACGTTGTTAATTATTATCATAATATTTTCTATGAAATTGTTACCAGAGATTTTGTTGATTTTGGTTATTTTATGTTCTATAAAGTGGTTACGAAGGTTCTGGAAATTTATGGTTAAAATAATGTGGGATCCTAATAGCACAATTAAGGAAAAATAATTGGTTAAATGACTGTAACCATTGCGATGGTTACTTTTGAGATAATTATCAGGTATAAATTTCTACATAACGAGTTACGATAAGAGTTAAAAATTCTTAAAGCAAAATGAATTTCTTCGTTAAATTATTCAGTTGTGGTCACAAAAGTATTTAATGAGGCTATATTACCTCTCCAATTGTATATGGT